GTATCCTTAAGCAAATAAACTAGCGTACGGTTGTCTAATGTTGACTCATGGTTGGGTATGTGCTATCGTCTCTTGTGTCTATTTACTGTTCATGTCACGAGAGGCTGTTGCAGCCTTCTTCTCCTGTCCAGTGGCTCTTCCTTTCATTGAGGAATTCTTCGAAACCCAGTTTTTCTTCATATCCTCCTCCTCCCTCCTCCCATTCCCTTTCGCTAAACTTATCCAACAGTCACAAATAGTTCCTACTCATTTTTCTACTTTCCTTTTACCTATTCAGGACGTTGGCACATTTGTTTATTTCTATAGCCTGCTTAATCTTACACTTGCAAACGGATGTGTTTTTGACCAGTCTTTTGAGTTTCCCTTAATTCTGAAATGTATCTACCCATTTAGTTTAAGATGATACAGGGACTGGTAGCTGAATTATTCTCACAATCATATGAGTAGACCTTAAATTTCCGTTTATTTTCACATAGCTTTGCTTTCTCAAAAGGTATTCTTATCTCGGTTGGAGTGGACTGCAGTTTCAAACTCGCCCAGGTCTTATCACCAGCCCAGCGGGAGTCGAACCATAATGGTTCAGAGTAAGTAGGTTTTTGAGACTACCATTAAATCACATTTATGTGTTGTGTTTACACATTTTCGTTTAAGGTAATGAAATAAGTCTCGAAAACTTACTCATCTAATAAAAAAGTAGTCTCCGATTACTATAGCAAATCCCAATAACTTTTGGGAAAACCAGGCTATGAAAAATTCAATGGAAACGTCAGCTATACTCATATCATTGTGGGAAAATCAAATACCACTCCTTTATCACCTTAAACGAAATAGGGTGAACACAAATCATACGTTGCTTATGTTTTGTTTTAAGGTTAGAGTCCCACTGTGGATGTTGCTAAGACCCACGCAAGGTCGAAACTTCAGTCTACACTGGAGGAGAATACCTTTAAGAAGACAAAGCTATGTGAAATTCAAAGGAAACGTCAGCTATACTCATATCATTGTGGGAATATCAAATACCACTCTTTCATCACCTTAAACGAAATAGGGTGAACACG